GCCGCCTCGGGGCTCGGCCCGGCGGCGCCATGAGCTGGGAAGGGCGGCTCAGCTCCCTGCTGGCCCAGACCGACTCCGGCGTGGCGCGGGCCAAGGCGAGTGCACGCCGGGTCACTGAGCCTAGTGGCCGTGTGGGCCCAAGTTCAAAGCCACATGAGCTGCCCGCTCCTCCTTGCTGGGTTGCCATCTCGCAGCAAACGAGTAATTATTTTCCTTTTTCTTACAGCAGCGTCTCAGCATGGCCAATATTCCCTCTAAAGGTAATAGCACGTCCAGCTTTCTTAGGCGGAGTGTTTCACGAATAAAGGCAAATCTCCTTTCTTGATCGTAGACAACCTTATGTGGTTGCTTAGCGTGGGTAATTTTCTGTTCGTAATTTCCAAGAGCTGTTGATGCCCAGGATTTGACATCTAAGCTACTAGTGTTCCCATGTGGCATATTGATGGTGCTTTCAAACTGTTCTTATTGGTAATTAGATTAATAGTCTGTGTAGAGAGCTGCTTTATCTAATGACTGCGTGATTGTATCATTCAAGAGCGATATGGAAGAATCTCACTTCTGCTTTTTAACCTGCACTTTGGCCTTTTTCCAAGTTCCCTGCCTCATATGCTAGCTGAGGCAAGTTTAACCATGTGGCTGGCCCAGGTGGGCTTCTTTCTTTGCAGCCCCTGGTAATGTCTGTTACTTTTGATCTCTTAGTGGATTTTCAGCTTGACAGAATAAGCACTGAGAAGGCTGCGTTTGATGATTGTCTGCTTGGAGGCCAGCAGCGGTGTCCCACCTGCGCGGGTCTCCCGCGCTGCAACGCGGCGGCAGAGAAGGTAGCAGCCATCGCCAGTCAGCTACACTCCCAAACCAAGGTAATTTAAGCCTTTGGTAAGATTGCCTCTCAGATAGGAGTGAATTTTCCTAGCACAGTTGTGTCATGTGCCCATCCATCCTATAATACTTTATATTGTGCATATTTTTCTTTCATCGTGTATTGTTGGAAAGCCACACCTTCCTGCGTGGGTGGACACAGCTCACAAAAGTAGTTAGAAAGGCCTCTGTGTGGATGATCCTTTCTCCCTCCCAGACTGAAAGTTTGTGTTCTTGGTAGCTTCCCTGCTCCCTGCCTGCACAGTTGCTGTGATGGAGACTCAGATTTGGATCTGCTTAGCATAATCTTTATAGCTACTTCTTGTGCATCTGTCTCCACTGTTGGTTCTCAGCTTTATGAAGTGCTGGCACCACGTCTCCTGACGACAGAACTACTTCATATATGCCTATTCTCTTCTTTGAGGAGTTTTCCCCCCTGTCTTCTAGAATCAGAACAAGAAGACTTGTTTTTTACTGTGTCCATCCCCTCTATAAGAGGAGGAGAGAAGGATCCCATCTATCATATTCAGATTTTATTTTACTTTCCAGGCTTTCCTATGCTTCCAGGTTCTGAAGTTCAGTTGACTTGTTATCTGTGTTTTTTCACCTGGTCTAAATTATTCTCATACAAAATCTATTCTTGTCCTTCCCCTCAGATCATAGAATCTCTCACTCAGTCTGTACATCGACTAAAGCAGGAGAAAGAATTCCAGCAGCAGCGGATCAATAACCTGGAAGGTAGTGAAGATAAAAGGACTAGAATTGAAGCCCTGTGGGATGATCACAGAAACCTGCTACACAGATCACTTGTGTCTAGGTCCTATTGAAGAAACAAAAGGTTGTGAGTGCAGCCATCAAACATGGTGTAGTTCCACCTCCCTGTTGAATGAGAACACAGGCTGTTTGATACAAGTCAGAAAGAGCTTTTTGAATTTGTCATTTATTCTTTTGCCTTTTCTTTAGAGATTAAAAATCTGAGAATTAGTTTGCTTCACAGGAAAGAAAAGGGACAGGGAGGAAATGAAGTGATTTCTTGGAAAGACATGACCAAGCTTGGTCTAGATTAAGATATCCTTGTGAGAAGTCCTTTGCTATAACCGTTGTTATCTGATCCTATTCTTACCACTCCTGTCCCAGCAACTGGAAGTTCAGACCTTTTCACCTCCTTTTCTCATTTGCTGTCATAGCGGATGTTCAACGGCTGCAGAACAGTTCTTACAGTAACTTGGAGACCTTGCTAAGGAGGATAGACGAGCTCAAAAGTGACCACCATAAACAGCAACAGCAAGAGTTTCACCAGCCTCGTGGTGACTGTGGAGCTCATCTAAACCCCCGTGTTGACAGACCTGGAGAAATGAAAGAGAAGTCAGTGTGAGGATCTTTGCAAGCTCAGGGCTGGGGTAGGGGAAGTACAGCAGGAAGAAGTTTTAACTTTTTTCCTTTCTTTAAGCGGTGAAAAACTACTGTGGCAAGATTATGTCTGCGTGAAGAAAGAGTTGGAGCAGCTGAAGCATAAAGTCAGTGAGTGTTGTTGTGTTCTGCTCCTGGCAGTGGTCTGAATGCTCCTCTGAGCAAGTTACTCAGCAAGTTACTGCCCACGTGGCCTAGCAGAAACAACCCCAGTGGGAAGCACTGTGACGTTTGCTATAGTTGAGGATCTCTGTTCAGGAGTATGAAACTGGGGATACTGGTGAATGGGTTGTGCTGGAGCAGAAATAAAGATGGGTACAAAGGGCTGGCTAGCAGTGACTCCATGCTGTGCCATGGGATTGCTGTGGGAGGAGCGCATGCAATGGGCTTGCCTGCAACCTTGAATCCATCCTTTGCTTTGGGAGAGCTGTGCGTGCACATATTTCTGAAAGGTTTTGCTTGGTAATAGAGATGGAAAATCAGATGTAGGATGTAGTTTAGCCGTTTTTCTCTTTCTGTGACATCCAGTTGTTTTACTCTATAGATCAACAAGAGGAAGAGCTATTGAACCAGATGTCTGCAGCTGATGAAATCAAGAGAGCTCAGAGTTGGTACTGCACGGTAGGCTGCTTTATCGCTGCAGCTCTTCTGCCTGGTGTTGGGGGGTTCAGTGGCCTGTGGCAGACCTGGTATCAGAATGAGCAGGCCTTACTAGCCGAGGGGAAGGGAGTGTTAAAGCTGCTGTGTGGAAAGTTCCCTATGCAGAGTAGCCAGGCTGAAAATGCTATTGCAGCCTGTAAAAGGGTAATATCACCATAAGGCCTTGACTGACAGAACCAGCGTGTTTCCCAGGCTTGCTGAAAGAGCAAGAAGAGGCTTTTCAGTTCTAGTGCCATGTGATGGAGAGCAATTAGAAAGGTATCTTTAAAGCTTGTATAAATAAGAAGAAAATAAGAGTGTGTATATAGGCTGATAATGACAGGTTTACTGTACGTGGAATTAAGTAGATTTTTTTTTCAGTCTTTGCAGAAGTGGATGATCTTTAGCAAAAGGGATACAGAAAAGACTTGAAAAAAGAAGTATAGAATGAATAGAACTGCAAGGTAGGGGTTAAAATGAGAGCAGAGCTAACAGTTGGATTGGATTCTTTGCAATGAACAGCACGTTACGGTCTTTTTGGAAACCTCATGCTACACAAGCATACTTGCACAGCCAGAGCTTGTAATCTGCTTCCCAAGGGAAGGTGGAGACACGCTCTCAAATTCTCTGTAGAGTAAGAGGAGCACTGTGGGCAAAACACTGCCACTCTATCTTCAGCAAAACTTGAATTCCTGTTGAGAGGGGCTAGCCTGAAGAAGAGATTATAGATGCTGCTAAGTAGCCATCATGATCCAAACCGAGAAGATTGTAAAGAAACAGGACTACAACCTTGCTGCTGGAAAAGTATGTTCAGCAGTGAGGACATATATATTGCTACTTTCCGTAGTTGTTCCAGCCTCTTCCAGACGGCTTTTCTACAGGGTCTAATGGTGTTGTGTTCAATTAGAAGCCACCTCTGGGGAATTTGTGGAAGTGACCATCCCTTCTTTCTCACAGGTGTTGGAAGATCTGTTGAACAACCACAAAAAACAATCTTGCAGTTTGGACCAACCCAGGATGGACCTGCAGAGCACCCAGCAGGAGCTCAGCCACCTCAGGTAGAGGGAATGCCCCTCTGGATAGTTTTTGGGGGTGCCCAGTTTCACATGTACCACATGAGAGCTGCTGCAGGGGCAAATGCAACTCATGGGCCCCCAGGGGATAGTTGGTCACAGAGGGGTGCCCCTGGCTGATTGCTTTGCAGGGCCCCAGGGGGACAGCTGTCACTTTTGCAGCCAACTCTCACAGTGCTCATATTGGCAAGCTCGGCGGTGCCAGACACTCGTGTCTCATCTTACCATTCTTGTTTGCCAGCTTTCCATATGCTGCCCTTCGTACCTGCCTGAATATGGAATATTTTGGGAGTGTTGTGGAGCGCAATTCATTTTGGCTAGGATGGTGTTGTTTTTCCTAATGCCAAAGGCAGTTGAATGTCGGTTTTGTGAGGTCAGGTCTTCTGTTTAAAGCCTGAACTGGCAAAGCTTGAAGCAGGTAGGGCTCAAGTGTTCACCCTGTTCTGGAGAGAACTGCTTGCTAAGTGCAGGCAAAGTCCTCTAAGGCAGCTGCAGGAGGGGTGAAACGGCAGCAGCTGTTACTGATGGAGCTGTTTGTGTCCTGGCAGTTATCACCTTGGGCTGACTGCGTGTGGGCGTTGGGAGTGAGAACCTGCTGTTCTTCCCTGGGCTGTCCTTGGAGCCGGGCTGGAAGGATTGCGCTTACCTTCTCATCTACCTTGTTTAATTAGTGCTGCTGTCTCCTTCTCAAACCCTCTGTCAGGGCACTGGCAGACTCTGTGTGCTCTCCTGTTTGCTAGTTGGGCACCAGCTTGCTTTCTCCTTGCTGAAATGAAGGAAATAATAACACAGATTTATTTCTGCCTGTGGCTTCTCCAAAAGAAGAGGCGCTCATTTGAATTGCCTGGACTCCTAATTTTTTACAGCTTGACCAGCCCCCTTATCTTCTCTTTCTCACCACACTCAGCTGGTGGGAACTATCTTCACTTGTGCCCGTAACCTCTGCTGAGTTTGGCCCTTGCTTCCCCACTGAGGACTCTGACATATTCCCTGGAGAGGAGAGAGTGACGTCTGAGCTTCCTTGTTGAGGAGCTTTAGATCTTTTGGCTCTGTTTTGATTGTATCATTTTCTATCCAACCCCAGTTGCCCTGGGATAGCTGCCAGATGCCCTAACTGTCATAGGCTTAGCTGGGGTTTCATGTCTCTGTCCCCAGCTCTTTCCCATACAACCTCGTGCTGCAGTAAAGCAGTATTCAAAGAATATGCGTCAGTCCTCTGGATGAAGGCAGAGATGAGTCTTTGTGGAGTTCCAGGTATTTCTTTTAGGAAAACCACAGTGCTCCCCTTCACCTCCCTCAGGCTAGTGCTTGCTGTTTGTCGCATGTGCCACGACATGGTTTGGTCTGTTCCTAAAGTACATGCACAGAAAGGGCCTTTCGTTCCCTGTGTTCTCCGGAACAGCGAGTGTCACCAAGGCACTGTTTTTCTGAATATAGCACAATGGTTCTCCTTTACTTCCTGCCCAAAACTCTTTTTTTTTTTTTTCTCTGGTCATGTTAAGTCATCTTAAGGGATTATTGCTTTACATTAGGCAGGACTGTAATAGAAATGGTCGCACAAATTGTTTGAAATCTTGTGACAATCAGTGTCTGAAACAGATTAACAGAGTTAGAGAGTATCTCAATTATTTCTGTCTGCTCTTCTGATCTCCCTCTCCCTCTTGCCCATGAGCATATTAATGTCTCTGTTTATTAGTGGGTAAGTATTGATGGAAGCTGAGTGTGGAGGACAGCATAGCTCTGTTATTAAGTTTTGTTTGATAAAGGTTGTTGTATCAGCTAGGTGAGACATTTCCAATAATGGAACACTGTTGCAATTCTGTAATTAAATATCGATTCCCTATTCCTTTCTGTAAAAGCCTCAGGCCTTCCCCTATTATATCACTCCTCTACCTGCTGTCAAACTGTGATTTCATTAGATGGGTCTGTGCTGTCAATAACAGCTTAAAATACTCCCTCCCCTCCGTTCTGTCCTGCACTGGCCCCGCAGTGCGCGGCCTTCAGAGCTTCTGCCACCACGGATGTTCGTGTGACTATGCTGTAAATCTGATCAGGGAGCCGAGCTGGTTCTAACAAGTACTTTATTGTGTTTTTTTGTTTAAGTGGGATCAGAGCCCTGGTGAGTTTCACAGTTCTGCTGTAAAAAGACTTGTGCTGGCACAACAGAGATAACAACTTGAGCAGGGTGAGGTGAGGAGGCAGAGATTCTGCTGCCAGACACTTCATATCCTGAACAGAGAGCTGAGTTACTCAGCAGAGCTGCCTTCTGTTGCTGTGTGGCAAGAATTTGTCAGAAATCTTGTCAAAGTTGTTCCCACCTCATTCCCCCTCCCCTCTCCCCATTAACTGTGGCTGTTCTAGCACACACTGCTAAGATTACAGAACTGTCAGTGTTCTCTTTTTGCTTCAATCAGATCTACAGTTGCTGACCTAAAAGATCAAGTGAAAAGTCTGTTGTTGAAGGAGATGCCATCTGAACTGGTAGAGAAGGACGGAGTTCATTGGAGTAAGTGCTCCTATGTTCCTAATGCTTTGGATAGGGTCTGCTGGCCTCCCTCTGCTTTAGAGATCTCACGGTCTGGTCCAGTGCCCTGTTTTCCCTTCCAGAATAGACTGTCTTCTGTTTAGAAGGCTTGAGGGTGACTGGCTTTGAGCAGAAATGTGCTGGTCCAGCCTCTGTTATAATCCTGCTGATTTGGAGTAGACTGTAGAGCAGTTGGTGCCAAGGACAGGTGAAATCCAGTGCCTGAACATTTTTTGCCAATGTGTTCTCCTGCCTAGGTTTGCCTATCCTGGGACCTGTTGTCTGCTGCTTTCTGCCGTCGCTTATACTCACACAGGAAAGAGTAAAATGCCATTAAATCAGAATAGCAGCAGTTTCCCCAAGTGGTAAGAGGCATCACAAAACATAGACAGTGAAGGCTTAGGTTCAGCACCTTCATCTGTGACCCTTCAACCTACCCTAATGCTTGCTTCGTCTGTTCTAGAGAGAAGCAAGGACTTGCTGAGAGAAGCAGAGGATTTTTCTCCATCCTCGGGTGAAGATTCCACCTCAGAGCTCAGCCTCAAAGACTTGAGCTCCGACGAGCTTTCCAGCACTCTAGAGAGCAAGGTGCCTGAAGGTGAGTGGAGTGTGGCTGCTTCCTGTGCCCTCAAGATCTGAAGAGCCTTGCTGGATTTTCCACAGG